ATTTCTAAAACTGAATTCCTGTTATTTGGCTTTAGTGTTCCTTGTAGTAAAACAATGCTACACAGAATGAAGTTAGCCATTGGGCTCTACACCACAGCAATTTTAGTAGACATGGATACAATGTAAAGTATAAAAAACATCCACTTTGCAGGGATAAAGGATATTTCCAAGTCCTAAACACGTCCATGACAATTACTCATGTGCTCAAAAGCACACATTTGCAAACTGCGTAACAAGATTATTAATATGGCTTTTTCACTATATTTTCTGTAGATTCATTCAACATTGATTTATTGTGAAATAAAATTTTACAATTCTTTGTGAAACTAACTGTGAAAAATACCACATTCTTAACCAAGATACTTAGTGTACACTAATAGTGGGAAGACCAGAAGAAAACCTAGTTCTATCTCCTGAAAATTATCTGCCCTGACACACTGCATCAATTAATAGCTGGTTTTCAGTTGCTCACATTCCTAAAACCATAAAGTCAGTTTTGAAGTGGAATATCTAAAAGTGTAAAATAAACAGTTTCAGTGTCCAAGATGCAAAAAAATACTAAGACAATGAAGTTTGCAAGTAACTCCAGAAATAATAACAAATCGGGGGGGGGGAGGGGGGTGGAAAGCCTGGAAAGATATTTTCACATTCTTTAGAAGTACTGGATAGGTAAAGTGGTTCCATAAGTAAGAATTTAATCATCCTGATACAGATAAAAATCCTAAAATGGGATTTCATAAAACACCTGCAATAAACTGAACTAATAATACAAAAGATTTGTTTGAAAAAAATTAGTTTATTTGAAAAACACTTAACAACTATTATTAAGAAATTACTTTTCCCCTTTACATTAACCTATTTACATATGCTATATATATATATACACATATACAGAGTTATAATTTGAATTGTGCATTACTATAATGAATTCATAGAACTATGCATTGTACAACAACCTGGTATAAGGTTTTCCATTTCTTGTATAGAATACAGGGGTTTTTTGTCTGAAATTGTCTAAAGGTTAAGCATGTGTAAGACGCATTTTCTCAATGCATTGCTAGCAATTTCCTGTAGACACTGTTATTCACATTAGTAGAGCATGTAGCCCTTCTACTAGCGGTAGACACTGACTGGCCACTGCTGTTACTACTGTTAGGATCAAAAGTCTTTTTACAATTGAAGAGACTGAAAAGTTGTCTCTGATACTGAGAAGAAGCATAATAGTAAATAAAGGGGTCAATACAACAGCTAACACTGCTGATACAAACACAAAGTAGATAGGCAAAGTAGAGATACTCTAAGCTGTTGTCATAAGAAAAATGGATATAATGAATTAATAGGAGGACATTTGTTGGTCCAAAGCAAATAATAAAAACAGAAAAAACAGCCACACACAAAAGCAAGGCACGCGTCTTCTTATTTTGTTTTGCAACAATGGTAGAAGAACTAAGACATCGAATGATACACACGTAACAGACAGTAGAAATTATAAATGGCACTACAAAAAACACAGAGGAGAAGATGGAGAAAAAGTGGAGGTAATAGCCATGAAGTTCAGATTCTCTTAGCACATCGTGGCAAGTAGTTATATTTAACTTGGGTATTTCCATTGTTTGCTCCCTGATGAGAAAAGGTATAACCCCAGTTATTGCTACAAGCCATATGATGAAACAAACCAGCGAGGCACGTGTTAACGTACGCCACCCAAGAGACTGCATGGGATACACCACTGCTAAGAAGCGGTCGAAGCTTATGCTTGTCATAAGCATTACTGAACAGTACATGTTACAGTAGAAGGCAGCAGTGATGAAACGGCACATCTGAGGTCCAAAAACCCAGTCATTTCCAGAAAAGTGATAAGCAATCTTGAAAGGAAGGATGCTTACAAATAGGACATCTGCGAGGGCCAAATTCAGCATATATACTACAGCTGGCTTTTCAATTTTCATTTTTTTCAGAAACACAAGTATTGCTGTAATGTTCAGAGGGAGACTCAGCACAAGCACTACGGTGTAAACTGAAGGAACGAAACGTGTCAGCCACGGACTAGCAAGGTATCTTGCTGTTTGCACTGACACTGTTCGTTGCTCACGTAGGAATGACCCAGTCTGATTGGTGGCTCCTGATCCAACTTCCAAGTCATTTTCAGTATCACCTTCAATAGGTATAGGGTCATCCTGGTGACTTAGAAAAGAGAGTACAAAACTTCTGACCCGTGGTATGCTGCCATTATACGGGGAGGCTGAAAAATAAGAAAGTAGTAAGATTAATAAGCAAACATTTACATGCTATGAGGAAGTGAAAATATCTTTCAAAAAGAAAAGCTAAGATCATATTAGCAACACAAAATAATAAAGTTAATTCTTGATGCAAAGTGCAGACTGCCCACAGATTTTTAGGCCAGCCCTTTATATTTTAGCTCCAAGTTTGGATAAGATGTCCTCCTTTGCTTCCTATCTCTTAGCTTGCAAGCTTTTTATGGTAGGCACTCTATCATCTGTGCTTAAGGACCCAATCTCATCTATGTTCTCTTTAGGCTACTCAAAGACAAAAACAACAGTAAATTTGATACCCTTAAACTGTATTTGCCAGACCCTTCATACAGTTTGTAAGAAATGAGGAGCATGGGATAAATAATAGTATTCATACACAAAAATCCCATTGGAAGTACTCGTCACCAAAATAACAAAAAGTTACAAGTGCAATTAAAACATCAAATTACTGAAATATTTGTGTGCTGTGGAGACATTTTACTCAACCCAACAGTCCCATCAAGAGAGATGGTAGAATCACTGAATCACAGAATGTTAGTGATTGGAAGGGACCTCGAAAGATCATCTAGTCCAATCCCCCATGCCGGAGCAGGAACACCTAAATGAGATCACACAGGAAGGCTGTGTGCAGTTTTCAAGGCAGATGTGGATCAACCTTTTGCTTGTATCAGACAGGTAGCCACAGACTGCACAGAAACACTTCCCCAGTTCTACTTATCCTGCCCCACAGCAAGTCATCGAGGAGGGCATGTCCCCAGTGTGCCCCTGGGGCACTTCTGAAGCCTGCCACTAGTGTTCCCTCTACAGCAGGGTCTTCTGCAGCAAGGTTCAGCGGCTGTGACTGAGAAGTGTCAGGACAAGGTATCTCTGCTTTTTGAATGTAGCTGTGAGGAGTTAGGAATTTAGTGTTACGAAGTGTTGAATGTCTTGTATGGGTTTATTTATGTAAAAAAGAAAGCAAAACACCAGACAATCAGAAGAGCTACTTCTTCAGCCATTATTTCAGAAAAGCTGTTTGTAGGGAGCCTTATTTTGGAAAACTGTTTTCAGCTTAACCTAGTTAGGCATAGGATAATTCAAACATGCTATAGGCAGACAGAAGTGAGAGAGTTACTACTACTTAAGTAATCATCTACTTAGCTGTGCAACTGATCCATTGCTGAATCCTAGACAACAAAAATGCAAATGAAAGTGTGTTAGCTTAAATCGGTGAGCTGAAAGAACATAAGCGTGATTCACCTAAGATGCTACTCCTTAGAAGCAATTATTGGTTCTACAGTAACACAAACCATTTTTTATGCAGATGAGAACAAAAGCATCTGAAGGAGGCAGATGGCAAAGAGAGGAGTGGCTGCAGCTTTAAGCAGGCCTTTGTGCGCAGGCTGTGTGAGAAGGGCCCTGCCAGCCTGAATTTTGGAGAAATTCACACTTTAATGTCGGGGGACATGAGAGGAGAGGTAGGGAAATTTGGGGACTTTTAAAAGCTGCTGTGCTGTATGCATCGTGCTGTGTCACAGCAGCATTCTGGGGGCAGAGGGACGAAAAAGGTGAAGTGTTTGAAGTAATGGTTTTCATATGCAGGGACTACATTGCAACCTCTGAAGGCCAGAAAAAATATGCTGGATGAGAATTTCAGCCTGGGAGCTTGTTGCATAGACTGTAGTAGGAAAAATTTAGTACTTTTACTGAAACACAAATGCACAGAAGTATGTGAGATTCGGGGTTTGCACAGAAGGGCACTAAACCACTGTATACAAGGGTCTTTTCTGCTGCCTAAAAGAGAACAATAACAAAAGGCAAAACTATAGATCCTTAATCTTTAACCTTACTTTGAAAGTTTAGTCCAAGCAGTCAGATGGCTCAAGGAGTCAGCTCCCAGTTCAGCAGTTCAGGCATAACACAAGTTACACCGAACATCCCTAACTTCAGCCTGTGGCTGACATAAAATAGGTGATTTCCAGTTCTTAATGATCATTGCGATAGAAATCTGTCACAACTGATACCATTGGTATTCATCTCTTTTGGGAGGACTGTAATTATACTTGAGTGAAAAACCCCTAATTTCTCATGCCCAGAGGCTTGTCTTCATGATAGAGACATCAGTAACAGTGACAAAAAATCTTGAACAGTATCTCTGGTATCTCCAGTATGTACAAGTTTTACGAATTCAAGACTTTGAATGCTGTGAATATATATTTCTTCCACTGACATTTCTAAACCAGAAAACTTCTGAAACAGAAGAAAATCATGATCCTAGTTCCAGAAGGTCTATGGGTCCTTCTTGGTTTCTCCACAACTGAAGAACAGTGTGGAGAACCACATGAAGAGGTGACAAGGTTTCATGTGAGGAAGGAATGTTTTTGAGGAGCACAGATATAAATGGACTTTATGAGATGGGGGGTAAATCTCTCTGGAGTCAGGAATTATACTGCCAAGATGACCTCTGCATGACGTGGTAACTGAGGTGCTTCCAGCAAGCATCTCTCTCATCCCAGTATCCCTGAACTTTGAAGGTCTTCACCTGCGCTGCCTCACCTGAACTAGCAGTGCCTCATTTTTTGAGGACTAGCGAGCAAACCAGACAGAGTCACTGACCCTTAATGATTGAGGTTAAGTCACTTAATGTGGAAGCTCTTGGTGGTAACCTGACCTACTTCTCATCAGTGACTCTTAAGTTAGAACAGTATGAAAACATGCTAAAGGGAAAAAAAAATGATTATTGGGCCGGTTAGCTTTTATTGATTACTGACCTTTGTCTTAGCTATTGGTTATAGTTACTTGAACATAGCTAATAGTTTTTAATTATATCCTGAATTCTTCAAACTAACTTCTTTACAACTTTTGTAGATGAAAGGACTTATTTAGAGTCTGCATTACTCCATTATCAAACTTTTCTAAAAGTATAATCCTATTACAGTATTTCACAACAAACACATTTCATAAATAATGTTAGTTCAGTTAAAATTCCCAGGAATAGTACTTTAACTTGGTGAACTTGCATTCTTTATATAAGCCAAAACTTTCTAAGTTCAGAGTTGAACTCAACTCAACAGTTGATGCTGTTAACAACACCTCTGTGCTGTGTCCTGTGCTTAGTCCACATCCCTGCCTTGAACTCAGATGATAAGAGGTACTACTTGAAAAGCAGCTCTATGGAAAAATGCAATGAGACCTCAAACTTGCTATTTCTTTGTCACCTGATAATATAAAGAGCAGGAATTCAAACTTTCTTGATGAAATTCAATGTTAATTTAGTGACTGACAGCCACATATTAGTTCTTTTCCTTTGCAAAACTGCGTATATGTTTGTATGACACAGTGCCTGTGTATTATTAGAAAAAATAATACTGCACTTCATGCTTTCTGAAACAGAAAGAAAGACAGTTACTGCCCTGAGGTTCTGGATTCCTTTTGTATCAGTGTTTATTTGAAAAAGCTGGTGGGCAGACATTTATACACAGAACGGAAGAGGATGAAATTATGTCATATTATTTCAAAAGATCTTAATGAATGCTACAATAGAATCTGCCAGATGTTTCCTTCTACATATTTTAAAGCTGTAGGTATAATTTGTCTAAAACATATTTTACTACAGCTTAAGTATTTTTTAATAATACATATAATATGTTAGGAAAACAGAGGTAAGGATTGTATAATGGCCATAAGTGCTCAGACAGTCATCCTGTTTTTGCTAGGCTGTCATGTGATCCTTTTGGAAGAGGTCAGTTGGTGGATTACTATTTTTATGACTAATATTATTCGCATTGCTGATATGACAGAGTTAACAGTTGTATCAAAGTACTTGGAAAATATAAATAGGTAGGAAAGAACAGGACTAAGAACCTAAGAATAAAGAAAGAGTGAGATAAAACATTGATATTTCATCCTCGTGGTGTGCAGTCAGGATATGGAATAATATACATAGTCTTTTCTTTGCTTCTAATAAAGCCTTGGAAAGGCAAAAATTACGCAGAATCAGTACCATACTCAAATTACCTGAAGTTCTCTTTTACTGCCTGTGGTCTTTGCACTGATTCTCCAACAATGGCACACAGAAATGACATAGAAAGCTCAGTAAATTTCAGACTGATGTTAACAATCTATACTGTGCTGTTTTCCATCAACTACTACATATTGTTGGTCTCAAGATAAGCATATGCATATTCTGCTTACCCTGAAAGACACTGTTGGGTTTTTTTGGTTGGTTTGTTGGTTTTTTTACACAGAACTATTTTATAATTTCCATTTATGCCTACTTTCATATGCAAGGGGCTACTGAGAATACTGTTCTGTGAAAGAAGTTGAGAGAAAAAAGAAAAAAAAAATGGCTTCAACCAATACTAAAAAGCACTCTTGAGCTCCAGAAGAAAATTTAAAAAGTATTTCTGCAGACTGTAAGTCTGGACAGGATGCTACAAACTGGCAACGTTCATGTCCCAAAGGGTATATTTGTGAGGCAGAAAAGTAAAGAATAGGCTCCTACTCTCTATATGATGCTGGGCAACAATTAATACACACTTCTGGGCATTAGTGATGACAGCTGCACCCATACCACTGGCTTGTAACAAAAAGTTAGTTTATCTTATCTCCCCTATGTATAATCTGCAGGGATAAGCATCTAGAATCTAAATTAGTGTCCCATAAATTAGCTACTCACAGGCAGAATGTGAAGAGCATGTCAGACGTTTATAAACAAAGTAAGACACAATCTTGTAGGACAGATGCCAATTACTTGCTTTTGTAAAAATAAACACCATATTGTCTTTAAAAAAATATTCTTTATCCCACATCTCTGTTGATAGAGAACTCGTTACTGTATTACACGAGTGATGTAGTAACAATTTGAACACATTCCTGACGTATTGTTTTCTTGCAACCAGATGTCTACTCCTTTTTGCTTTCCTTTCTCAGTCTTTTTCACAACAGGTGCTGGCTTCAAGCAATGATAACACCTTTCGATCCTGCTCTC